CACAGCCACTCATGAGAGCTTTGATGCAATCAGAAACGAGAGGAAGAGCGGTTAAACTCAGTTGGCTGCCCACCTCCCACAAACTGACGTTGCAGTGCAATCCTTCCGCTCATTTTTCTAGTCAAGATTGCTTTAGGTACATTCGCCCTACTTTTCCAAATAGCTGAGACCACTCATTCCTTTTGGATTAGTTTTGGGTTCCTCCTGACGACCACCAAATTGGAGAAGGTTGGGTTTGGTTTGGTTTGGTTTTCCCTTGAAGATTGGTTGGGCCTCTACAAACATTCAGGGTCTACAAAGAATCTAACCATGTAAGCAGGGCCCTGCTGGAGGGGAACCGTGGCACATTTAGTCCAGCAGTCTGTCCTCCTGGTGGCCCACCAACTGCCTAAAGAAGCCCACAAATCTCCCAGCGGATGGCCTTCCGAGGCCGTGTCACTGCCATCAAGGCAAAGAGCTGTGGATCTCCAGGACTTCCATGAATCGGCCCAATCCTTTTCTGAAGCCAACCAAGTTGGTAGCCGGCCCCACATCTCATGGTAGTGAATGCCTAAATTGGGTTATGTATTGTATGTTAAAAAATCCCTTTTGTCTCTCCTGATTCTTCTAGAATTCAATTTCATTGGGTGATCTTTGGTTCTAGTATTTGGGGACGGGGAAAATAGCTTCTCCTTCTCCAGTTTATCCACACCATGCATAATTTGGAACCCCTGAATCATGTCCCCTCTTGTTTGCCTCCTTTCTAAACTCAAAAGCTCCAAATGTCTCAACCTTTCCTGACAGGGAAGCCGCTTCAGACCCTGATCATCACAGTTGTCCTCCTCTGAACCTTTCCTAGCTCCATTACCTCCTTTTTGAGGTGTGGTGACTAGAACTGCACACGATATTCCAGATGGGGTCTCACCGTTGATTTATGTAAGGCCGTTATGATATTGGCATGTGTATGTTCTTATTACTCCTAACATAGTGTGGGCCTTTTTTTACAACAGACACATGCTGTGTTGACTCCTTCATTGAACATCCTCTTGAAACCCAAGAAAAAAAAAACCCCACCTAATGTCCAATCTTGTTCCCTCTCCACTGTGGCCCTTGGACTTCAAAGAAATGTTTAGTGTGGCCTTTGGGGGCCAAAAATCCAGGAACATGGAGGAGGCAGGTCATAGAGAAGATCAGTGGCAGGACACAGATTCACATCATTGTGACAATAGTCCCACTTAATTGTCCCTGGAACCAGACATAATATACCTCCAGATATAGACAGGTTCACGTCAACTCCAACCTTTAGGCTTATTTTTAGCTTCTTCAGAGAACAACTGTGTCTCAGGCCACAATTCCAGCGCATGAGTTTTTCTGAGAACTCTGAGGGTGGTACACAATGCGCGTGAACTTTAGCACCAGGGTATCCACCCTGCTGTCCCCATCACTCCACAGCTCTGAATATCAGCCTGACTTGGCCATATGGGGGCAACACGCACGTCAGCTTTTGTTCGCATTGGGGGCCTTGGGCGACAATCACTTCTTTCTTACGGACAGCCCAGTAGGTGCTATGATGTCATAATACCCACAGAGGCTGGCAGCTATTTTTGAAACAGGGGTCTTATGTCCACTGCCCTCCTGCCCCAATAACAAAGCTTCTCTAAATAACTCAACATGTCAGGTTGGGAACCTGATCTAGGCTAGTTGTATTTTCCTGAGTGATCTCAAGTTACTGGAACATGAATGTCTGGGGGACAGAAGAATGGAGTCAAACAATTCAGAGAAGTTGCCAAGAATACAACAGCCCATGAGAGCTAACAAGGATTTTGGGAATTCTTAAGTGAGTTTTGCTCCCTCCCCCACCCCATCTCTTTCTCCATCCCTATCTATCAATTCTCTCTTTCTCTCTCTTTCTGTTTAC